ATGCACATTACATTTTGGTATACTAATGGTGTACTTTTAAAAACTTGAAGGTCAATAAATGATTTAAGAATATTATTACAAGAAGGATCCATTCATCTCCAAGGCAACTTTCAGTCCCAACAAACTGATGAGACTAACCATCATGACAAGGTATACAAAAGCAGAAATGCACTTACTGAAATTTATTTCTGATTCAAAGCTTTCTCTACAACACATGATATAAGGATGTGTGTTTAATTATGTAACAATATGTTGCAGCTCTTTACCCTCCTCACTAAAGCACCTGATTGGCCTAATGAGGAGCGGAACAGCCAATAGCTAGGCAGAGAAAGGATAGGCAGGAGGTGGGCAGAAAGAATAAACAGGAGGAGAAATCTAGGTTCCAGAGAAGAAAGAAAAGAGGTGAAAAGGAGAGAGAGGGAGATGTCAGGGACCAGCCACCTAGCCACTCAGCCAGCTACAAAGTAAGAAAGGCATATAGAATAAAGAAATGTAAAAACCCCAGAGGCAAAATATAGAAGAAGAGAAACAGGATAATTTAAGTTAGAAAAGCTGGCTATTAATAAGCTAAACTCTTCTAGCTTCATAGTATAGTGAAAGTGACCATTTGGAGCTAGTAAAAATAATCATGAAGGTCTAATAACCATAGTTAGTAACATTGATGATGTTTAAGTAGGGATTCCTACAAGACTGAATGCATAAATGTCAATATTCTGAGTTATAAAGGATATTCCAACAACTTTTAAATCAATAAAATTATTCAAAGTTTTTATCTTCCAGAAGGAAATAAAAAATTAAAAAAAAAAAAACAGATTGAACTACCTAAAAAATGAAGTGACATAATTCATCAACACAAATGACACAAGAAAAGAATGACTATGAGAATTAGAAAAAAATACCAATTTACCCTAGGACAAGAAAAACTGTATCAGGCCCTGCAAGATTATCGGAATAGTGTCAAACTTTAATTAGCCTTAAATTCACAGTAAAAAATAAGAAATTCTTTAAATTAGAGATAGAACTTTTATCTCAAGAGGTTAAAGAAGAAAGAATTATTCCCTATCCTCACCCTAGATGGAGGGAGGCAAATAGTGGATATAAAAGCAGAAATTAGTGCGATGAAAAAAAAAGAAAAAGAAAAGCACTGTGAACAATAGAGGAAATTATCAGCGGCAAATTCAATGCCTTTAAAGTGTAACAAAATCAATTAAGTA